TGGACATTAGGGTTGGGAGAATCCTGAAGGCCTGGAGGCACCCCGAGGCTGACTCTCTCTACGTCGAGGAGGTCGACGTCGGCGAGGAGGAGCCGAGGACCATTTGCAGTGGGCTTGTTAAGTACATTCCCCTCGATCACCTCCAGGTTCATAAAGTTTGAGCTTTTACTTGTTGATTTCTTGATTCTTTGGTTAAAGTTTAGATTTTGTTGGTTCTGAATCTGACCCACCGGTTAGGTGCATTTTGTGAAACAATTAATGGATAAAGATCTAATGTTGTTATACTTATTCATAAAAGATAATAATGTGTGGGAAGGAGAATTTTCATTTTTCGCTATTGATTGGTGTCGGACTAGTCAGGGTTTTTTTTTTTTGTGAGGGTTTTTTTTTTTTGGTGGGTGGGGGGGGGCGGNCTCCAAAAGTTATTGGGAGTTTAGTGCGATTTTGAAAGTTATTGGGGATTTACTGCAAAACTCTAAAAGTTCTTTGGGACTCGGTGTAATTTACCCTATTATGAAAAATCATTCTTGAGAAATGGGCTAAATCTTCAAGTTACATGGACTAAAATTCAAATGAGGTGCAAATATTCTTAAATTATTTTGGGGGGGCAAATTGTAAAATTTATAGGGTTTAGAATGCAAGTTTTATAATCTTAGGGGTGCAACTGCCCCCCTAAGATGACATGTGGATCCGCCCATGGTGCTGGGAAACAAATTTAATTAAGGTGAAAATACTGCGATGGATGAGTACACTACTGCACTTGTTGGAAGTTGCAATTAGTTACAACAGAGGACAAGATCAATGAATATTTTTTTTAGGATCATGGTGTGATAGTTGAAGGAATAAAAAGAAAGCTTAAATTCAGTCAATAAACGAGGGGATTTCTAGCTAATTGTCTGAGGATGCATCCTTCAGAGAACTGAGTATAGGAAAAATAATTGTGTAGAGTGCTGCACGCTAAAAATGTAATAATGAAAGTTTTATATTTATAATGATAGCTGTATGATTTACAGGTTCTTGGGGTTGGGGTTGGGGGCGCATTCTCTTTTTATCAACTAGAGTATGGCTACGATATACTGCGAGGATTAAACTACGACGAGCCGATCCTGGTGCATGCTGGCTTGAGCCTGATGTCTAATCTTCCTAGTTTAAGTTTTTAACTAGTATCAATTATCAAAGGCCAATGTCTACTGAAGGAGAGAAATTGTTTAATTTCCAAACTAAAAATGGCTTTGATAGTATATTAATTAGTAAGGAGTGAATCTCATGATATGATCTGGGCTTCCTCACAATAAACTATAAGTTCCTGGTCTTTTGCTAACCAAATCAAGTCAAGAATCAAAAGGAAAATTTGTAAATTTTAGTAACTTGCATTTAGGTATATCCGTATAAGGTCCTGTCTCTTTCACTTGGAGCAAATTTTGTCTCTAGGATCAAGTTATGTTGCACATTCAACTTTTACTTGGTGGTGTTTTATTTTTCTTCTCTTTTCTATCTTTCGATTACACAAAACTTTGGGCCATATTGAATAGTTGCATGTGTACTTACATAGTGTACGCTGGTGCACATGCTGCTCTGCCTGATTTTTGTGGGATCTGAATGAGGATGAAATAGATCCTAGAGACAAAGGAACTTGATGGACCGTTGAGCTGATAACATATTCAGGATATGTATTAACTTTTACATATAAAAATCACTCTACTTGCTAAGAAAGAATCCTGAGAGCCTATTAATTTGTGTCCTTCTAGCTGCTGGTATATAGTAGTTTTTACATATAAAAGTCACTCTTCTTGCTAAGAAAGAATTCTGAGAGCCTGTTAATTTGTCTCCTTGTAGCTGCTTGTAAGTATTAACATATTCACACAACAGTCCTCTACAGCTCTACCTTTGCTTGAATAAATTAATTGAAGAAGCAATAGTCACACTCATGACAAAACTAAGAGATTCCAAGATAGTCACTCTTTTTCGTACAGCAAAAATTAGGATCATAGAGTCCAACTTCAGAATTTCCATTACATATCTATTATCTGCTGAAGCTAGTGGAAGAAATTGCATTAAAATGAAACCAACTTTTACATTATAATGCCGTGTGCTTCTTCTCCCTGTGCTAGATTACCTTTTGTTGGCTCCATCCATGCTCAAAAAGGAAGAAGTATCGTCAACAGGAGACCGGTATTTCACAACTTTTTTTTCCCTAACCAACGAGACCGGACTAATGTAGTTCAACAAATTTAAATATTGTATCCTGTGCAATATCCACTTAATTTCACAGCCTCGTTGGTAACCATTTGAGTTGTATGATCAAAAAGTTTGTCATCGTGTCGTGTGTGTAAACATTACAATTGATAATGAGAATGTGATTAAAAAAAAATCTAGCAGATGTTGGTGCTAACACACATTTCATGCAGGATATTCAAGTAGTAGTCTTGGCTAATCTCAAACCAAGAAACATGGTCGGTATCAAATCAAATGGAATGCTAATGGCTGCTTCCGATGCATCTCATGAGACCGTCGAACTTCTTAAACCTCCTGAAGGCTCAACCCCTGGTGAAAGAATATGGTTTGGCTCAGAGGAGGAGAAAGATCAACAAGGAGATGCTGCCGCACCTAATCGGGTCACTACCACTAACTTATTGTTTATCCTTCTATAATATATGAACAGGTTAATTGCACATAGACCACGTAGTGTCATTGTTTGCCCTGGTTGAAATTTTGGTAGATATTGCCCCTGGATGAAATTAGTAAGTCTATCAGAGGGCAGGGTTAAAAGAATTTCACAAGGGGGTCTATCTGCCAGTGGGAAGTGACAAGGGTAGTAAGTTCGAAACAACAATCCTACATAGGGTCTATGTGCGGTTAACTCATCACAGATTCTCGGTATTTAGATGGTTATCCTCTTAAGAACATCATGATTTGTGGCAGCAACCTATTGATTTTTGGTCGAATGTTTGTATCAGGTACAGAAGAAGAAGATATGGGAAACTGTCCAGCCTCACCTGAAGACCACTGATTCATGTGTGGCTGTTCTTGGGGAACGTCCTATGCGGACTTCGGCAGGAGTGGTGATGAGCCCAACCCTGACGAATGCAAATATCTCTTGATTAGAGGGCTGGTTCACTTATTTTTGCTTATTTTTTGTGCAGTTTTGCTTAGCCAAGCCCCTAAACTTTTATGGAGAACATTTTGTTATATTTTGTTTCATGATTTTTTTCCAATGTGTTTGAAATACTTCCTAATCTCTTCTTGGTAGCAACATCCCTCTCTAACCTAACGTCTAGGAGATTCAAAAATGAAAATTCCAGTAGCTTGAGATGCAAACCGATTCATCAATTTCTCAAGAGACATTTATATGAAATCCATGGAAACAGCATCCTCATGAGCAATGGCTAATATTGCAGAATATAATACCTCAAATGCACCTAATCTTCCAGACGAAAGACTCACCAGCATATCAAGTTATTATTGCACACATCAAAGTCCCAAAAGAACGGGAAAATAAGTACAACACTTATGTGCGAAATCTATACAATAATATTGATCACGGTTCACATAGGCATACACTGCAAACTAGTAAGAGTTTTCAGCAGGCTGGGAATGATATGCCGTCCTCCGCCGTAGCTGCGACTCCTGTGTTGGCTGCTGCAAGAAAATCTTTGTAGGGTCATTTGGATCCACGTAACTACACATCAAGAAAAGAAAAGAAAAGAAAAGGTTAAACATCAAGCAAAAACAACCGACTCTATTATGCATAAACATGATGACAGATCTAGAGTTAAAAGCTACTATCCATCAAGTGGATAGAGGATTTTGTCCACCCAACTTCTAAACCTACCAATATTTGATTCAATGGCTTAAAGTAGTGACAACTCATCCAATAAAATTTTGATCTATCAAGTCAAAAAGTCGATAGTTTTCTATCAACTTATAGATCTATGCCTTTGTACTTACGCATGTCTCATCATTTCATCCACTGGAGTTTGAGCAGCTTGCAATGGGTCAACACGAGCTGCAGCATCAGCAGCAGCTTGCTGTTGATTATGGCGCCTCACAGATTCAATCAAGTTAAAAAACAGGGGCACAAAAGTCCCACATCCACCTTCCTTGAACAAGATCTTGAAGGAATGAGTCGAGTACAGAGCCCTGTTTTGGTCATCAGGGACTACCTGTGAGATATTTATAACATTGAGGTCGTATAACGGGAAATTGCAGTACAAATAGAAATGTGTGGTTGTTTCATAAGAGTTATTTGTACTTACAGGCTCCACTTGTCCAGACATGTTGTTGCAGTGGAAAATTGGCTGATTAAACTTCTCCCCATGCACAAACAGCTGAAAACAGGATCTAGAGTTATATTTTTGTTCTAACAAGAAAGGTCAAGCTCATATCCATATTTTGTCAAAAATAAATATCCACTGTCGAAAATCATACTGGGTATATATCCAAATCCCATTTAATGAATATGCAAGAACACACACAAGCTCTATATAACTGTCTATTAATTTATATAGGACAAAACAACAAGAATCTTTTCATTGGCATATACACAGGTTGAGGATTTTGAAGACTAGAATCATCTTTCATCTTTCTTTTTAACTTATAGACATTTTAATTAATATCCGCTTATCAACTTATCATGCAGATACACACCAAGTCCAAGTTTGTTTATATCACATATAAAATTCCACTGTCTAGAAAATATTATCATATCCATACACATACAATAATAAAACACATACAAATAGAATAATATCCAATCCGGTTGTTATAGACCTATCATTACAAATAACAGCCTAATCGCCATCAGCATATATGCTACATTACTGGAATTGACAGAGGTTAGTCTACTAGGAGGTTGAGCTATGGTTGCACTCTGGAGGTCTTATTTAGAGCGTAAATTCTAACTTAACCTGGATATCTTATACACTTAGCTGTCATGTAGGTTAAATCTAATTAACTTGAAAACTTTTGTGCATCTAATGGACTTATCATACGGCATTTTCAAAGGTTAATACGACTATACCAGTCAGCAATATGAAGTATTGTCAGTTCTAAGAGCAGCAATGAAGAAGACTAGTTCGAGCTTCAGAGTTTATGAGAGACGCCTAAAAGAAAGAATAAGATAAAAGTAGCCAGTAAAAATTCAAAGGAGATACTGCCTCAATTTTTCGCGCGGATACACTACTAAACAATGAGCAAAACGTATACAATGATAAAACCTATTAGCTTTACTGAAGTATGCAACCCGATATAACTTGCTTCAAGTATACAATCATATTTCTGTCAAAGTTATGATTTTATTCGTTGAACCTCAAGTGCAGAATCATTGAAACGTGCAGATGTGTAGTCCCACTAATCATACAGTTTTCATGAGAAGGTATTTACTAATAAACATAAAATATAGCTTGACATCTATGTCCACTCATGTGCATTACCCATGTTCACATTAGTGCATAGTCCAACAAAAAACATAAGATGTCCATTTGCGGCAGCAGTGCCTTTATAGAAGAACTCAAGTAACACAATATGTTCAGGAATCCATACCAGAGGCATATCAAAGGCCACAAAGTCTCCTACAGGTTTGTTCGCAACAAAAACCATCCGTATATTTGAGAGATAAAGCGTTCCCTTTGTTTTGATACGACCACCATGAGCTCTGATGAAAATAACAACAATAAAGGAACAAAATAATGAGCACTCTATTAGTTATATGCATGTAATGACTAACTGTTAACAAATAAAAGATACATAAATCATAAGTTAACTGCTTCTTATACTAGTTCCTCAGTTAATGAGGGGGTAAAATTCACAAACCCCCCCGAACTTTAAGGCATTCAGCACAAAACCATAGCTTTGAAAATTATACAACAACACCCATGTTTGCTATATCCACCCCTTGAGCTAATATTTCTAGCCCATAAAGTTTCGAGGGTTTCGTGCAAAACACCCCAATTTCAGGTAGGTTTTGCGAACCCTTGATGAGAGTAAGATGCATGTTGACAGCCCAATAATGATGCATAGGCTGATTTTACTTAAGAAAATCATTACGAAACAACCCATTAGTTTATAGATCCTTGAGTCAAGAAAGGGTGGGCTTACCTAATGAAAGAATTTAACTTCTCAGTCCCAAAACATTTAAAAGAGGGGAAAAGGATGATCATAATATTATTGTTATTATTTAAAAAAAAAATTTGGTCTTTTTTGGTGATTACAAGAGGGCTTCGAAGATGTCAAGAGAATGAATTCTCCATCTTAATATCAATTTATCATACAATTCTCGTAATCACCATCTAAGATATCCTTTGAAGACGACATGCGATCAAATTCCCCACTCCAATGTCAATTTGTAATGCAATTACGGCAAAATTAAAGGGGAAAAGAGAAAATTGAGGGGGGCGGGGGAATAAAAGATAAAAGAAACTCACTGAGGGATCTTGTCGACCTCGAACTCGACGCCGTCCCTCGAAAGAACGAACATCTCGCCGACGAAGGGAACGGGGAGGCCGTTCGCATACAGCTGAGGATTCACCGCCATCGTCAGAGATCGATGGTAACGAAGATTGGATTTTTAAAAGATCAAGCAGAATTCTTGGGGGATTTGTGGCGGATTTTTAGAGCGGTGACGAGAATATATTGGGAATTTGAGGAGACGAGAGTGTTCCAGATTTGGCTTCGGGCTTGTTTGGATTGAGGAGAATGAGGGTGAAGGGAAGTTAGGGAACCATTCACTTCTATTTATCTTGTTTGGGAACACTAGGAGGTGAAGTTAATTCATCCTAGTTTCATGTGATTCACCCCCTAATAGTATAAAATTTGTTACCCCTAAATTGGGGTGTAACCAATGGGAAGGGAACTCTCTTCCCTTCCATTCCCTTCACTTCTCTCAGTTTCCCTTAACTTCCCTTCACCTCCTACAAATCCAAACAGGCCCTTCGAGAATCCGAGCGGATTTGTTGAGATTGGCCCGGGCCGATTTGGGTTGGGCTGAGAAAGAAGCGGGGGTTTAAGATATTAGTCCATTGGCGATTGGGTGCAAGTGGGTCGGAGGCAGTTTGGACACAGGGAGCAATCCAATATTTTCTTTTATTTAACTACAAGAGATTATAGATATACATTAATAACTTATATAATATAAATTTTAAAAATAAAAAATAGGCTTTTATAAAATAAATCGCAAACAGATCTCAACATGTAAATATTATTCATTATCAATGCATCAGCGTTTTCGGTCACAAGAAGTAACAAAAATACCTCTGGATTCTAATAATAAACTTGCATAGATGTTCTTTACGCGGGGACACCAAACAAATATTAAGTGGGGGCAAATTTAAATTTTTGAGGCAACTTATAATAAGTTCACAAGTTGTGTAAGGCCACATGCTCCCACTTGTTCGAATATGATACTACTTATATCCATATCTGTTTATCGGTTGCCTTTATACAAACGAACACATATGTGTTTCAATAATGCAAAATTATATGGATATTCATCAAAATGAACTATAGGTATAAATGTACAAAGTGAAGACATGTGTGGATATACATGCTAATTCTAAGTAGACATGAGAAAACCAAATGAGATTGTGAAAAATATAGTTCATATGGTACAAGAGATCGCTTCATCAATATGTTTATTATATCTTAAGAAAAAACTTTGTGTGGTTTAGCCACTCATTGAAGATAGGCCAAAGTTGGCCTTAGAACTAGTTATGAAGAGAACCAATTTAGTTGTGGGCCAGCTCCCCTCGGTTTATAACTAAATCAATTTAAACCCCAAAAATGACCTAACAAAATCGAGCAATTTCTAGCACAGTTTTTGCCAATAAAAGAACTCTATAAAACTGGATCAAGTTCAAACATGACTCCATTTTAGAGAGTTACCAAGCTAGCAAACCTCCAAAACTAGGCCACGATTGAAGCTGACACAGTTTTGAGTGCTTTTTTTGTTTGCCAAAATTTTGAGCGAATGTTAGCCCAGTTTTTGTAAGCCAAAAAAGTACATAAATTGGTTTTAATTTGGACCATGCCTCCCCTGATCCAAACAAAAACAAAGTTAGAATAAAACCAGGTCAAGACTGATCCTGGCCTAGTTTTTAACATTTTGCTAAAGACACCCTAAAAATATCCATCGACCATCAAAATTAACCTCGAATTTAATAATCTAAGGATCAAAAAAGTTGCAACCGCACAATCAACATATTGTTTGTTGGAAAAATTGTAAAGAAGAGAATAAAGAAAATGTGACTTTGATTCCTTTGATCTCGGTTACAACTTGATTACAAAAGAGAGGAAAACGAATTTGGTTTTCCCCTTTGTTTAAAACTGGGTTCTTCACGGTGGCGATGGAGTGCCTCCCTCGAATGCTCGCGTCGAGTTTGCTCTCCGTTGACGATCCGCACGTCTTGATTCACTGGAACGATGTCTTCTCCTCACGATTTGACGTTGTGGAGAACTTGCGTGGCAAGTTTGAGAACTCAGAACGAGTTTTGAAGAACTCTGTAAAAGAGTTGATTTGAACCGAAGATCGGTTAATAAGCCAAGGCTAGAGGAAAGCTCTGGTGGTCGATCTTAGCTGAGGAAATCCCACCGAACCGAAGCCAGAAGAGCCCCTGAACTGAATTGATCTTCAGTTATTTATAGAGGATTAAGGGGGTGAAACCGCCCCTTAAATCTCTCCTAAGTGGGATGTAACCGCCCCCAAATCGTGGGCAACGGTTTTAGAACCGTTCAACTCATGTTGAATGAGTCAAACGACCACGTTGGCGTTCAGGACCCTAACCTCACGTCTTAGGATTGAGACGCGAGGTTGGGTGTTGGCTGAACATTGATGAACGCGAGGGTCGCTCGCGTTTCGCCTGTTTGTAACGCGGGGTTCGACCTTGGCGTTTTGATGTTGAAACGCGAGGTTCGACCCTGGCGTTTTGATGTTGAAACGCGGGGTTCGACCCTGGCGTTTTGATGTTGAAACGCGAGGTTCGACCCTGGCGTTTTGATGTTGAAACGCGGGATTCGACCCTGGCGTTTTGATGTTGTAACACGAGGAGGACCTCCGCGTCTTGCCTTGCAGAGATTATCACCAAGTAATCTCTTTTTGTCATAGCGTTGCAAAGATCATTGTCTTGTAATCTTCGTCTTGGCTCCTTGAGAATATGAGAGTCGTCAGATTGTAACTCCCGATGTTGATTGTGAAGGCTGTTGAAGTAGAGCTCTCATCGGTTGTCGTGAAGGTCGTCAGATTGTAACCTTCAGCGATCTACGTGAAAGTCTTCAAATTGTAGCCTTCTGGAAGTCGTCAGATTGTAACTTCCATCATCGGTGGTTGATGGGGGATAAGCTATCTATTGTGATTTTTAGACAGCCTACAGAACCCCCTCCAAAGTTTTCGAAAGTTCGCGGTTGACTGGGACGAATTTTCGGAATACTTTGGATCTCAACTCTGATCCTAGAGCTGTTGATTCCTTGTTGTAAAGGAGTCGTTCTCTGCACTTGCTTTGAAGGCATCTTGGTTGAAGGGATTTGCCACGTAGGACCTTTATGAAGGTATGCGTCATAATCCTGCTTCTGGAATGCGGGGGTGGACCCCTGCGTTTTGAATTTGAGACGCGAGGTTGACTTCGGCGTTTTGAATTTGAAACGCGGGTGTGACCTCGGCGTCATGATTTTTGTAACGCGGGTCTGACCTCAGCATTTTTAATTTGGAACCCGGGTGTGACCTCGGCGTCATGATTTTTGTAACGCGGGGCTGAACTCGGCGTTTTGAATTGAGACATGGAAGTGGCTTCCGTGCATTTTTGACTAAGTCTTTGAGACTTGTCTTCAGCTTATTCGTTTCAAGTCTCGACGCACGTCCATTAAGCTGTTGGACCTTCAAACATACATAGGATTTTTGGCAAACCCTCAGCCATCAACGGATTTGATAAGCCTTTACCGACTACCGTTTGAATCGGGCTAGCATGTGGATTGTCTAAGTCCGTTCCACTCGAGATAAATTCCCCCAGGCATGAATCCTGGTGTCTTTTTCACGGCGAAAGATTAACCGGCAACGCGTGTTAGGCGTAGACTTATCTCTAATTAGGGATCGAGATAACGTCCCTCATGCGTGTAAGACATGGATTCTGGCGTTATTAATAACAACCTGCTACGATATTGAATACGTAGGCTTTGCTATTATTACGGGAATAGGCTACCCGGCAGCATGTGTTAGATGCAGACTTATCTCATATTAGGGATCGAGATAAATTCCCCCAGTCATGAATTCTGGTGTTTTTTTTTTTTCACGGCGAAAGATTAACCGGCAACGCGTGTTAGGCGTAGACTTATCTCTAATTAGGGATCGAGATAAAGTCCCCCATGCGTGAAGGCATGGATTTTTGGTGTCGTTTCTTCCTGTGTGGCTTGAAACACCGAAAGAAAGTTGGAAGTGCCAGAGGTATGGTATTAACTTGGCATGAATTTTCACCTAAAGTGAAATTCAAAAATTTTCTTTATTATCACTAGGATAATTCTAGAAAATCTTTAATCCGTTGGGGATTTCATAATGAAAACTTGCTATTCTAGTTGAAAAAGGATTAACAAGTTCATTAGGGGGTTTGACTGTTAGAGGTGTGATGTTAACCTAACAGTATTTTATGGACCTATCGCTCAATTGAAGAGAGTCGATAAGTTAATTTTGTCGTCAGAGGTGTGATGTTAACTTGACAGGAATTT